TTATAGATCAAGTAATACTCCGCAGTCGTCGACATTACACGTTCACTCATCATGCAATCAGACGAGTCTGATTATATTAAAGTACTGAGGATAAAAGGTACGTTCAGGACCGTTGGATCAAGGTCAAATTGTAAATTCAGAGCTTCTGTTCATATCTGACTATCCCAAGCACAAGTACTGAAATGCTTGGATCGAATTTTAGGGCCACTGAGAAGCTTTTAGGCCTTTCGACGTCAATCAAGTCCCTTTTGGTGTGCGCCATGCATTCTTCTTCCGTTCTGAATGTTGATTGCTAAGGGGGGGGGGGTAGCATTTTGCTAGTTTCCATCGACGTGTAGACTACCAAAACCCTGTTAGGCTGTGAAATGGCAATCGGAGAAGATTGTACAGTTCGCAGATTCATAGGGGTTTACAGCTCTCACCAAGATGAGGAAAGTGAAGAAGGAAGCACTATGGTCCTTCCCTAAGGTGAACATCTCCCGCCGATGTTTTATTCTACCAGGCAAAATTGGTACCGAGTAAGCAGCACAGAAGTGACTCAGGGCTTGGATAACTCATGAAAGCCGATCCGCGATTTGATTCCCAGACGGTGCGCATACTGAGCGTTATAGCACCTCCATTAATAACCCAGAGGAAAGTTCACACCATTTAAACGGGCGGAGGGGAGGGGGTCATAAATTGGGGTTTTTGAGGTATTTGTGCTGCTTTCACTGTAGGTGTACCCCTAAGCACCAAGTAGTTTATGTTGAACGCCGTGGCCATCCTTACCCCTTACTCTGTGTCTTTATGTCCGCCCTGGACCCATGCGCCTATGAAGTCGGATTTTCTTCCTTGTAGGATACACCAACTGAACAGAAGCGATTTCTCAAGCCTGTTCCTTCTAAACGTATCAGCTCTTACTTTCAGGAGGCTTTCACAATCTTTTTTCTCTGAGATTGTTCCATAATAAATCAACTTTAGGGGCCAACGGCGAGGAGAGAACGTTGCAGTTCCCCATGAAACTCGACCTTGAACGTCCAAAACGACCTCGCACCACATTTTCCGAGGAGCAACTTCGTTTACTCGAGGAAGCCTTTCAGGAAAACGGCTACCTGACTGGAGAAACTCGGATGGCCTTGGCTGCACGATTGGGCCTCAGTGATACTCAGGTCAGTCTTCCCCGCTAGCTTTTATGCTTCGTTTATGCCTAGAGCTGGCAATATACAAGGATGTTAACGTGCCCATTACCCAGAAACTGGTTTCTAGGTAATAGGTAGGTTAACATCACTATTCAGAACCCAAAAACCTCAGGTGTTTTTTTGCTGAAACTTCGACTATGAGGCGTGGGGACGATATAGCATCACCTTTTGATGGCTTTCGGCTCAGGCTGAGCCCTCTAGAGAAAGTGATCTCCGGGCGGGGTGCAGCCTTACAAGCCCTAAGCAGCGCTCCAGCCGGGGATCCCTTGTTGTAGAACGAAGAAAACTAGAGAACTAGAGCGCGCCCCAAGAAATGGCCTACGCTAGAAGCAAAAGCACCGACATGAGTGTCACAAACGTGACAGAGGCGGCCAGATGTATGACAAATGGCATGATTTCTACTGAGTCGCTCTTCAAAAGGTGTACCCCCTTAAAACCCGGCCAAATAGCACTGGACCCGCGTGGTAATGAAATGTGAAGTTCGTGAGTCGGGTTTTCTTTGAACATAGCCCTATGACGTGAAGATATAGAGAAGATTCTCTGATTAGCCCGTGGCGAATGAGATGCGCATTTGCCACACCCACTTAGGCACCCAAGGACAACGGCGCTGGAGTCCGAGTGTTATTTAGCGATAAGGGACGATGCGTACCAAGTAACCCGTAAACAACCCTGATTCATATTGGTTTTGATGAAAGAGTGATAGCGCCAAAGTGGCGCCTTTTGGCGTCAAATGAGTGCCAGACGAATCCCTTATCATAAGAGTGTTTCATACTTTGCGTCAGCATTCTGCGTGTACGGTCAACACGCTGGATGGATCCCTAAGCTTTCCTAAAGCTCAGAATTGCTGCCGTATACTCAAAGCGCTGACGCAAAGTATAAACGCACTCTAATTGTAAGTGTAGAGTTCCTTTGAAAATAAAGACTTTGCGGTAATAGTATGATAGCACGGAATTCTTCATGCCATGTGACAGCTAAAAAACGAGAAGATTAGTGAGATTCGAATTTGTCGGTAGTATGTCATTTAATATTTGCTGATGGTTCAGGTGAAAGTGTGGTTCCAGAATCGTAGGACAAAGAACAGAAAGAAGACAGTCAACGAGGACGGAAGGTGAGTAATGAGTTCTTCAGGAGTTTGACGGATTATATGTTGAAGGGTAATTCAGCTTTCAGTTCTAAATGGGTTTTTGTTGCAGAGCTATCGGATCGGTCTCGACACATGCTCCACCTCATCAAAACTCTTCCATACAAAGTCAGCTACCATATCCGAACTATGTGTATCCTCAGCATTTTATCACCTCGACAGCATTCTATCCGTATTCAACCACCGCCCAATCGCAGATTCCTTTCCTACAAGATTTGTAAATAATCTTATCTATAATTTTATTCAATCACTCTCGATGAATAAATTTTTCCTGTGTACGACTACGATTGCGTTGAGTGGTACGCCGTTCTCGTCGTTGCCTACTGGTACGTTGGGTAGCGCGAGCCCACAAAAGTTTTGAATATGAATGAAATGAATGAATATGAATATGAATAGAATTCGTATCGCGATGCCCCCACAAGGCGTATTCAATTTTTAACGATTCAGTTCTGTGGTCCACATCTTTGAATAAAAGGATAGTCTTGACTGTCGACCAATCCTTGTTCGGATGCGGCTCGCTTTCTACTCGGACTCAGTAACGTAGTGGCTCACGTGGCTTATGCGTGACTGATGTCACCTATACAGTAACCTGACGAGTCCAACCAATGTACAAGTCACTGTTCCTATCCTATCAGACGGATCAGGTACGAGTTCACCGTCCTCGGAGGGTAGAAGGCTTGGTTGTTCTGGTCAGGGATTTGGCCCTAGAACTGCGCGCGAAGTGTGCCACCTGCCAGTAAACTGCTCCCGCCTTAGGCCACATTTTTGATAGATGGAAATACCTTCAGAGCTAGGTGCAGGGACAATTCAACGAACGCCAGGCCACCAGGCGTGTGTTCCAAACGCTCAGGGTAGCTGTGATCTGTTGCTCAACTATTTAGGTTTTCTTGCACTCTAACATCTTATGACCATTTTAGCTTGATATCATGCAGTACGCTCAAAGTATTTTTTTGATTTTTGTGGTAATCTGTGCCTCACTAAGGCCTACACTCTATAGACCATATCAGAGGTCATGTAGAGGCATTCCTAAGCATGTAGCTGGGAGCGCCGTGACGTCTGCGAGAGTCCAGACGCAAGACAGGTAAAGATATACACTTTGTATCCCTGGAGATGGAGTGGGCGTGGTTGCGTACTTCACATGGAGGTGGCGGCTGATGTGCCTTTGACGTGAACTTTTCGTTTTGGGGCAACTGTAAATGTCTTGTCCAGCAAAGGACAATCGACATTTGCATCAAATATAAGTATTGCCATCCAAAGAACACCAGCCTAAGCCAGGACTAGTGAGGGTCGCAGCCACGCCTTTCCACATCTTCGGGGATAGAGGGATAATTTAACGGGAAGAGTTTGCACGGGAAGCTTTGATAGCTGTCGCCAGTGCTCGCAACTACGTACACTTCATTTCGCATGCAGACCGGCTTGAACGTTTGGTGGGGTTGGGTCTGGCGCGAGTTTTCGAACCACTTAAGTAGCGCTTTAAGGCAGTGGCACTATGGTTCTATCTTCGCCTGAAATGGCTAGTAAGGGAGCGCTGTATTAGTGGGGGAAACGGCGAAAGACGGAGTGACAAACGGTCAAAATCCTGCAAACCATCCGTTCTCCAGTTGCTTGTAAATTGAATTTCGGACGATTTTCCGTAGCCATCGTTACCAATAACCGCTTTACCGAAGATAACTGCCATATGTGGCACCCATTATGCGTGCCAGCATCACAGCCGCTTTCATAACGCAATACCACATTCGGCTTTCATATATTTGCTTAGCAAATGAATGAATACGAGCGTCAGGAACGGTCGTCCATTTGTGGGCGGGCGGGCGTGGCGGGCGTTTGGGACGTAAAGTTGTGGCTTGATAGGGCCCTTATAAGGGGCACATTCCTCGGGGAAACCGCTATGCAGCGCCTGCCCAGGGTCGCGGAATTCTATCCTGCCAGGAGTATGATGCCCTAGTCCGCCTGTGATTATCCGTGGCCAACTGCCTTTAACATCTCCCACATGGTGAAGGTGCAAGCGCTAAAACTGCTGAACTTGCCGAATTGTAGGCAACATAGAGACCGCGGAGGCATTCCTAACTCCACATGTGATAGATAATGGGCTGGCTTTGCGCCAAACTGAGCAGCACCCCCCTAAAACATCCTTGCCATGCAGCAAAAGCGGCTATGCTTGAATGCCCTTTTCTGCGTCCTGTCACTGTACTTTATTCGCACAGTTTGCAGCCACACAAACCATTCGAAGGAGAGGAGGCAGGGGGACAGGGCTCAAGATATGAGTTGTGGGATTCCCTGTCGACGCTGATTGGATGTGAAACGTCGCTTGCGTCACCCATGGGAATTCTGAGCGCCAAAGCACTTACCCAGGCCTACGCCTTTGGTTATATTGATGGCAATCTCATTCTTTGCACCTTCATCTATGAATGGTCCGTCTATGGGTAAGGGCTACTCAGAGTTACTAAACATCTACGAATATCCTCAAGTAATGGCGCTAGTCGAACTTGATTGTCTCAGAATCGGCTGATGAACGCCGTCGAATGGTTGCTATCTCAGAGTTGCCCCATAACGGATTATGATTTTCTTAATATCTGCTCCCTCTGTTACTCTCATATTCCTGCATGCTCTTAATTTTTAAAATTT